TACATGATTCTGGCTTGATAAGGGACTGGTTCTCAGCGAATAGATTGCAACTAAATGATGAAAAAACTAGTCATTTGCTGTTCAGCTCGGACAAATGGGCATCAAAATCAGACCCTGTTAAATTATTAGGTATACATCTGGATACAAACCTAAACTGGATATCCCATGTGAACAATCTGTGCTCCAAATTGGCAACTCAAATATTTGTTATTCGACAATTAAAATACTGTATACCTAATCATTTACTACTGTCTATTTACTATGCACTATTTCACAGTAACCTCTCTTATGGCGTCCTTCTGTGGGGTAACTCCACTTACGCACACAAAGTATTTTCTTTGCAAAAAGCAGCAGTGAGATTAATTGATAATGCTCCTAAAAACACTTCTTGCCAATGTATCTTTAAAAAACTTGAAGTACTGCCTCTCCCTTGTGTGTATATTCTCGAAACATTGATTGAAACACATAAAAACATAAATAACTTAAGTCGTCATGAAGATATACATAATTATGACACTAGACACTGCAAAGATTTCGTAGTCAATAGAAATAGAATTAATATGGCTAAGAACAATACTCTTGACATTTCTTTGTATAACTGTTTTAGAAAATACTTTTTGCATTTAAATTTTGACGCCATGACGCACAATCAATTTAAAAATTTAACGAAAACATTTTTATTAAATTACTGTTTTTATAATATTCAAGATTTTTTAAACGAATTAAAATAATATATGTATGCATTTTTTGTTATTTGTTCTTTTATCTTTTTCATTGCATTTACTCTTGTCTGTTCTCAAATTTTTATCAATGTATTTTACATATTTTGTGTAGTTATTAATGTTAAATTTTTCATTGTATTTGTAATATTACTGTATTTTTAATGTAACTTTTATTATTATGTTATATTTTATTGTAATTTTATATTATTGTCATATATTACTGTTTTCTCACGCTTGATGACATGACTTCAAATGTACCTAAAAGTATGTAAAGTTGTCAATAAATATTCTATCTATCTATCTATCTATCTATTATTATTATTATTATTATTATTATTATTATTATTATTATTATTATTATTATTATTATTATTATTATTATTATTATTATTTTTTTTTTTTTTTTTTTTTTTTTTTTTTTTTTTTTTTTTTTTTTTTTAATTTGGTGTCATCGGCGTCGACTACTACGGCCATTAGCCTCGTGTTCTGTGTAGGCTTTGTTACTGTTTCCCAGCGCCACTTTAGGAACAGCACTGTTAATTAGAACCCAACAGTGAATGGTCGAGTGGGGAATCCTACCTATGCATTAGAATTAATATTTAATTTTTTTTAATTAAATAAAAATTCCTGCATTATTATTATTATTATTATTATTATTATTATTATTATTATTATTATTAATTATTATTATTAATTATTATTATTATTATTAATATTATTATTATTATTATTATTATTATTATTAATTATTATTATTATTATTATTAGTAAATAATGAAATCAACAGAAAATGTTACTCAAGTAAAAAATCGGATATCAGTTCAGAATCTTTTAATTCCTACTTCGCGTCTGTAGCGGATAATATAATTAAATCAATAGATATTGCTTCAACCACAGGTGCCTTCATGACTAATAGTCGAAGACAGGCGAATTCGTTCTTCATGGCCCCTATCATCGTGTCAGACATAAAAGAAGCTATACTTCATCTGAAAAATTCAACTTGTTTAGACTATTATGGCATGAGCGCACCTATGTTAAAATCAGCTCTATGTTCTCTTCTTGAGCCTCTAAATCTGTTATATAACAAATGTTTAAATGAAGGGTGTTGGCCGAATAATTTAAAAATAAGCAAAATTCTACCGATTCACAAGAAAGGTGATATTAACGATTCAAACAACTTTAGACCAATCGCTATTGTTCCAATCGTAGGGAAAATTCTTGAAGTCATTTTAAAGGGTAAATTAATTTCTTATTTAGATAAAAACAAGATTATTTCGCCTCACCAATTCGGCTTTCAGAAACATAAATCTACAACAACAGCATTGCTAGAGGTAATAAATAGCGTGGTTGATAGCCTTGATGAGGGCATAGAAATTACTGCAACACTCTGCGACCTCTCTAAGGCTTTTGACTGCGTCAATATTAATTTATTATTAGAAAAACTAGAGTTTTACGGGTTTAGGGGTAAAGAGTTGAGTTTACTTGCATCTTATCTAACAAATAGAATGCAATATGTCAGTTACAATGGCGTGGAATCTGAACTTGTACCAGTTACAAGAGGAGTTCCTCAAGGATCCGTACTGGGTCCGGTATTGTTTCTACTTTATATAAACGACTTACCGAATGTTATTGATAATGGTATCCCTGTTATTTTTGCAGATGATTCTACAATTTTATCCAAAAAGTTTAAAAATTCTACAACTGATGATTTGCCGGCAATTAAAAACTGGTTCTCAACTAATGAGTTAAAATTAAACGAATCAAAGACGCAAACTATCACATTTAGTTCAAATAAATCCGCTAAAACTGAAACAGTAACATTACTAGGTATGTCCTTAGACACTTCTTTAAATTGGTCTCCACAAATAGACAGTGTTTGTGCTAAAATCTCCTCGCAGATATTCGCATTAAGGCAATTAAAACCATTTCTTGATTCATATGTATTAAAATCAGTCTATTTCTCGATAGTTCACAGTCATCTTTTATATGGTATTTTGCTTTGGGGCAGAGCCTCAAGGGCTCATAAAGTTTTTTATTTACAAAAAGCTGCTGTCCGTACATTGGATGGAGCAGAGACTAATGCGCCATGTCGGCCGCTGTTTAAAAGGTACAAAATTCTCCCATTGCCATGTGTGTATGTCCTGGAAAATCTAGTTGAAATCCACAAAACTCGTAATGCACATATTGCTTATCTGGATATTCATAAACATAACACACGTAATGCTGAGAATCTTGTACCCTTACTTTCACGTATTAATATCACTAAAAACAATAGACTTGACTTGAATTTATACAATAAATTTTTAAAATTTCATATACAAGTGAATTTATCAAATATGTCACTCACAAGTTTCCAGAAATTTTCTAAGGAATTTTTATTAACTGAATGCTTTTATTCTATATCTGAGTTCAGCAACTATTGTAACTGATATCATTTTTTTTTCATACTGTAATTTATTCTGATGTTTATGTGGTTAGTCGGCCTCTTATATCTTTTTATATTTTTATTTTAGTACGTTATTGTAATTTATAATGTTTCTTTGCATCTGTTTATACTTTGTGCTGTTGTTTTTATGTTTTATATTTTATATTTAATTTATACATGTATAACTTTTCCTACAAACTATTTTATAATGTAGACTATTTTTATTCTGTTCCTGTATTCTTGTATTCTGTTAGACTTATGTCACAATGTACTATAAATGTATAAAAATGACAATAAACTACTACTACTACTACTACTACTACTACTACTACTACTACTACTACTACTACTACTACTACTACTACTACTACTACTACTACTACTACTATTATTATTATTATTATTATTATTATTAATTATTATTTTCACTGACATGAGCTGAGAACCGAAGTCCTATGAAGCTCATATTATTTATAAAATGTTAGTTAAAAATAAACAATTTTTTTCAATCTATAAACTATATCTATAAATTGATTAGTTGCCTAGATGTCAGTATTTTTTTACCACAACACAATTTTATAAATAATCTAGTCAAAATTGGAAAAAATATTGTATGTAACACGTTACGAAATGCGTTTAATGCAACGAGTGAATATTTGCGGGTCGTGCAGAGCGAGGTCCCGCAACATGAACGAGTTACATAAAACTGGTTTCACAAATAGCTATTGTGCTGATTTAGAATGGAAAATAAGGACCAAAACAACATTATTACTAGGTTGTAAGTTTGACCAAATTTAATTTTTATATAGTCAATTTTCCCTTTTTTAATATAAGCTTAAATAATAATGTAATTGATTTTAAAACCGAAAAAAGGTTTATTTTTATTCGGTTTTTTTTTTCGCAACTGGTGACAATGAGTTTTTCGTAACCAGTTTAATAATGTCAATATTATGCAACTGGTTACATAAAATAGATTAGTTTGACACTTGTTACGATTACAAAAAAATATCACTTTATAGTTCAAAATTAGAAAAACCTCTTTTATAGGTACCCGAATTGAAAAAACATTCCTAAAAAACACTATACATCTATAATAGTTGCAACGAGAAAAAAATACATTAAACTAATAATAACTGGCAATAAGAATGCAAATATAATGTAAATTTGAAAGCCTTGTGCGCTTTAGAGCCTTACGTTTAGTCAATACCTAATTATAACCATAAACAATCCTTATAACGATACTCTCCCATACTCTCTCATAATAATTTGACAACTGCGTGAATGATTACAATTAGATTTTTGTAATTATATAACTGCTCAATTTGGTCACGTGAGATATGGGTATTGTTAAATGCTTTTATATTTGTGTGTATCCATTTTCTCTTATGAACCGTTAGGGTGCGCACCATACTACAGATGCCTCGATGATCGATGACTGATAGGCGATGTCAATCAATTTAACACATATGTACTGATTTAAATGAGAGTAATACATATCAAAGATATCGCTGTAAGTAAGCATCGAGGTGGTTCTAATCTTTGGTATGTATATTCTCATTTAAATCAGTACATTTGTGTTAAATTGATTGACATCCACTTAACCATCGCCTATCAGTCATCGAGGCATCGACCATCGCTCATCGATGCATTTTCGGCATGTATTCACCGCTTTATGTTTTCGTAATCATTTCATATTTTAAACTAGATTATTTTGAAACAAAAAATAATGTATGCAGGTAATATCCAATACATTGCGATGCATTAGCAACGGTAAAAAGAAACATATTATGGTTTTAGAAAATTACCTTTCTAATAAATACATATTTTTAAAATAATCAGTGTCTTTATTACAGGTAGCGGATATAGCCAGTACAGTCGGCAGTGTTGGATCTGGATCAGTTATGCTAGCAGCTGGAGCTGCTACGATTACCACTATAGCAGTTGCTCCCGCGGCTCTTATTACCGCCGGCGTGGTTGGAGCTGGAGCTGGGGTGTATGCTTTAGGAAGAAGCATTAGTAATCTTGTAGATAGAGTAAAACACGAGGAGGTTAGTTGCAGTTTTGGTATTTATTATTATTTAAACTAAGTCTTATCAATAATGCAATGTAAATATTTAACGTTAATGTTACTAGTGAGTGACAGACAGTATATCGCTGTAATTTTTGAGGGATATTCTTGAATTCTATTTAAATGTAGCTAACAACAAATGAAATAGGTTTTTTAATAATATGATATTTTGTGAGTTGCCGTTAATTTTTATTTTGTAATGTTTAATCCAAAATATAACCAGTCCTTAAATTTAATCATTTTAAATACGAAATGACTGAATGGTAGAAATGAATAGGTATGGTTACATTTGAAACAAACCTAATCAAAATGTTTCTCGTTTTTGGCAGTTGGCAGTCATAAATAGATTTTATTATATATTTTGTATTTTTAAATAAAGTATAAGATTGATAAATTTATCTAAATAAAGCAAATTTTATTAACTGAAAAGGAACTATAATTATTAAAACATAAAGTAATATAAAACTTATTTTCAGAGTTTGAGCTTCGCAAATTCAGAGGCCCGAGGCATTTATTTCAATCTATTAGCTGGTTCTGTAGGATTTGTAGGTGCCGGAGCTACCATGGCGGTATCACAATTAGCAGCCAATGGAGTAAATATTGGAAGGGTAAAGTGTAAAAATAAAAATATGTATAGCCTTCGAAAATAATGTATTCTTTAAATAGACAGGTAGAATACACTTTTTGTAAAAATAGTGGAATGATTCAGTCACAGATCACCACATTATAGCCACAATGCTTTTTGGTAGCTGAAAACCTCTTGCCAGTTTCTTCTGGTTAAAGACAAATCGTTACGAATGTGTAGTTTTTTTAATTAAATCAAGGACACGAATCATGACTGATCAAATAAAAATGTGCATATCTTCAAATAATACCACTTTTCTTCAAATTCCAATTTTGTACCATTATTTCGCACTTTATGGTATCGTTTATGTTAAAAAACCATGGATCTTTGTATGATAATTATATTACACAAAACACAATATTCTAGTGTTGATGCCAGACGATTCTTATTTAAGTAGCTCTGAACATGTTGGTAATTCGTTAATAATGTGATTAATCACTTTGTTTATCAAGGGACTAAACCATATTTTAACTAAAACGAAACAGAGTACTGTTTAGAGTACATAGTGCTTAGAACAGAGTAAAAAAGTAAGTGATTTGGATTTTTTTGTCAAAAAAAAAAATTATCTGACATATAATTAGAATTTGTACAACAGTTAAACTTTTTTTAAAAAGTTAGTTGCACGTAGTTAAAAGAGTTCAGTTTTTTTACTAGAATAAATGTCTTGTTCGTGTAATATGAAATGGACAAAACCAATTTACCTGTATCTGGACCAGTTAAATGTTCAACTTGGAACTGAACTTTCAATTTATCTGAAGTTGTTACACTTTTTGTTGTACCAAATACAAAATATAAATATTACAAATCATTTTTTAACTGTTCTAGATAAACTATTTAGCTGAGGCTATTTAAATAAATAACTTTAAAATTAGTTTAGAAACTAGAAATGTTAAGTGTTAACTGTACCAGTAGAATATCAATAAAAAATACGCTTCGGCAGTGCTGAACTAGTTTGAACTCGCTGGGTGCACTGCTCGAGATAAAATTGAATTATAATTTGCTGACCCAAATCAGTTCAGAACTGAAAGTGCTCTGTCATGGAGTAATTATGATATGATATTAATGATGTATTTTTTTAAATATTAATGATAATACCAATGGGTAATATATATTTTCGGTTTATAAATAAAATCAAGATTTTTGTTGTAATTCCTAAAATATTAATATTTTATGTATAATATTGCATTGTCATGTCTCTAACAAATAAGCTAGTTGCCCAAAAATATATTACTTCCAATTAGTTGTAATGTGACATTTGGTAATATGATTTTGTTTCTCAATTTTAGGGTGTTGGATTGGCGGTCAACACAATAGGAGTAGCAAATATAGGAGTGAGCGGTGCCAGTATTATTAATTCTAGTTATGACGTTCTTGATCAATGGTTTAATGAAAATCAAACACCATCCTTGTTGACTCTTGTCCAGCTTAGTTCATCTATTCTTTTCTTCGGAAATGCAGTTTACAATTTCAAAACATGTCAAATGATCGTTGATGAGACACAAACAAGAGTTATACAAGATTATACAGAGTCTTTGCGGAGTAATAGACACAGGTAAATTTAAACTAATACATATTAATTTAGTGATTGTTTTTTTTTTGTCAAATCATTTGAAAAATATTTCCAACCTTTGGATTTTTGGTAATTTTTTCACTTGTTTATGTTAATAATATATGAAACGATAATTCAAAAACATCCTCAAAACATATAAAAGTCGGTAAGAAATTCAGCCAAATTGGTTAATTTAATTTCGCGCATGCGCAATACACTTTTCCACTTTTGAAAAGTATGTTTAGACTAGTCAACTTTTTAGGCTAGACCTTCGGACTTGTCCGTTGATTTTTCCAATGGACCCATCACTAATATTAATTATCGCCAAAATAACACTATAGTATCCCCAAAATATCAGTCTGTTATACCTATAATAATAAATGAGGGGCGGAAGTAAACGATTCTAGAGTACATTCCTATTAATTTCAAGATGGCTTGGATGTGAATATTGTTTACATTGTATAGTAAAAGTGATGACGTTTCCAAATTTATTTCTCAATCAGTATGCGCTACACTAGTGTGACGTGATTTGTGTCCTACTAACAGTTGACTTTTAATAAAAACAAACCATTCTCATTAAAATTGACATACATTTTGTTGTTTTTTTCCAGTATTGTTTTAAGTCATAAAAAATTTGCTTAAGAGCGTTATCCAGTACGTTCCTAACCCAGATTTCAAATCTACTAAATAATACGCGACGCAGAACCTCTCAGTCCAATTTGACAACGTAGGCACTCGATGTCTGTAGGATGTTTCTCGGAGATATTCAAGTCGGATTCGGGTGTGCGTTTTAGTTTTTAGTAGAGCAAAATTTAGTACAAAAGTCGTTTATTGCTCGAGATGATAAAAATTGGCGCAGAACCAAATCAGTCATGTACTGAACATAATTCTGAAATGAAAGCCAATTTATTTCTTTTAACATAGTTGCAATACTCATCCTTCTGTCCTTTATTAATAGAATATAAATAGGCGAAGTACAGTTCATCAAATTTCTAGAGGCTTTCGACGGCTAGACAGAGAAAGCACTACTGACAGGCATCCCGACGGATTTACGCAATGAAAGTACACTCTGCGTATTTCACTGTTTCATTCAGACGTAAATGTCAGATGTAAATTTCGCTAAAACATTTCTTTTATTTTCGTTTGTGTTTTTTACTCATTACAATTTAATAGAACCTAAGTATGGAGTTTAATAGCAAATTAAGAGGCCGCGTGATTAACAGTCAATCTCGCGAAATAATAGCCAATGTTATAGAGTTTATGAGAAGAGAAGGAAACTTTAATTCACCTTCAATACCATTTAAAAATGTAAATGATCGTGTTGCTGCGGCCACAGGAGTATCTAAAAACACTGTCGTCCGCATTTCTGGAGAGAAAAAAAGAATCGATAACCGTGAGATATCGGAATTTTCATCACCAAGAAAAACCATTAAAAAACCAAAAACAGTTATTGATATAGATGAAGCTGCACAAGAATCAAATTTTATTTCTTTATTATTAGATAGCTATTTTTGTTTCTGAGTTGTGTTCATTTACAGGCTCAATTTTTTTCCGTTTCTCCTTTTTGATTTTATATGGGGTTTCAAGTTGTTTTTGACTTATTTCGACGTAAATCACAACAACACACTTTTTTAATAAAGCAAACAAGTGTTAAGAGGTATATGTACGTGTAAACTACAATTACAAAAAATTGATATGAAACCCATGAAACCACCAACAAAAATGTAAAGCTAGCTTCCGTACTAGAACATGGTGTCATTCGTCGAGATAATTTATCGTTTTGTTTAATAGATCAAGAAATGTAAATATTCCCCTGTTATTTTTTATAAAATTATAAGAGAAATAAATTTTTTTCTAAATAGTATAGTTTATTATTTTGTAGAAAAACCAAATTTCGAAAATTTTAGTAATGTTTCAGAAACAACCGTTATTAATAATAGGTACCATTTTCCTTAATAAGGTAGAAATAAAATATAAACTATTTCCACGATTTACAAAGGCCTACAAAAAAATTATAGGTATTTTCCGCTATCCTATAAAATTTATATTTTCTGACTCAATTTCAAAAGGTTGAAGGAATCCAAAACACCTTTTATGGCATAATAATTATTTTCAATTCTACATACTATCTTTAGCTGCTTTTAAAAACGTTTTAAGAAAGTCCAATCAGACCAATTTAATCCCTAAACTATTCCACACTTTTAAAATTTAATTACCTAAAAATATTAAAAACTATTTAAAATAACTTGTTTAGCAGACTGTACAATAGCTATCTTAGTCACACGTAGCGCGTTCTCTGTCTGGGCGTCGAACACCTCTAGAAATTTGATGAACTGTAAGGAGCCCAAATATTTTACATGAGCAGGCCTAAGAGTTAAAGGGGCCAATTATTATTGAATAAATTGCTCGAACAAGTTTTTAAACCCTAATCAAAAGGCGATATAGAATGGTTTTAAAAATTAAGGCTTGTGAAAATCATCACATGGTTTAACCTAAGTAATGCCAATGCTTCACAAAACAAAAAATTCAACGTCCTAATACTACTATCAGCTTTCGTTCCAAGTTAAATCATTTCTCGTTTTTGTTATGCTACGAGTTTACCCCTGTGGGCCCCAGTCTCGATAAGGTGGGAACCACCATTTTAGCGTCTCTCGAATTTTATAATTTTTTGCCTTATTGCATCTTGCGATGTTAACTATGAAGCAGAAGCGGGGCATTTAATTTCAATTATACAATCAGTTCCTACCAGGCCATTAGGACTAGCCCCCAAAAAAACATAAATCCAGTTCGACAAACAAAACCACAATTTTCGACATGCATAATAAATTTTTCTGAAAATTAACTTAGTGCTATTTGTTCTTTTTCTAAGCCGTATCTTGTATGTTCATTCTCCATGTGCGTGGAATAAATTAAATGTTTTATAAAATTTGTTTTTAGTCGCATTTTACAATTAGTACCAAAATTAGAAACAGTTATGTGTACACTTCTAGCTTGTTTCCATGTAGGATTTTCTCCTTGCCCTCTAGTCTCTTTTTCAATCAATTCTATTTCAAGAGAGTTTTTTGTAATTATTTTAAAAATATTTTCTTTTTCATTTTAATACACCTTATTATTTAAATCGGGTATTATATTCTCATGGTCAAGAAGACCGTAATCTTTATCTGATAGGACTTTTTTTACCTTCAGTCAGTTATACGAGTTATGTCGTGATAACCCTGAATAAAATCATTTAACAATAAAGAAAAATTTTATCGACCGACATGCGTGATTTTTTTCCATAACATAATTTACAATTTTTTACTATCACATGTCGTGATAGTTGCACAACTGATCATTATATTATTATAATTTGATGAGTGCTGTGGTAACTGATTCATAATTATTAAGTGATGCGCATGGTTCGTAGATAATTCAATAGTTTTGTATTTAACATTTTGGTTCTAGAAACTGCCAGGTCAAAAAATTATGTATTGCTTTTACACACAATAAAAATGACACAGTAAAGATACACTTTTAAATTATCGGATGACAGTAGCTTTTAAATCTAAGAAGCCTTGTACGATTTTTTATAGATGTTCGTTTTGAAGGAAAACCGTATTTTCTATTTCCCATATTATATTATTAAACACACTATTACCAACAACGATAACACAATTTTTTTAACATCTGTTTTTTGTAAATGAAAATACTATCCATTTATCTATGAACTAAACAGAAATGTAAAATTAATATGGTTCTGAGACGTATTCAGTATTTCCCCTCCACCCGACGATCGGGCCATAATTCGCATTTTTAACGCGTTTCAACTAGTTTTTACACGCTTGATCAACAGTTTATCACCCTTGTGATTATTTTCCTTTTTGCCAAAATATTTTTTAGACTAATATAGGTTTATGTTTTTGGTTTTTTGTTTTCCTATAGGTATATTTTTTGTAGAATATTTTATGAAATTATGTTTCAATTAAATAAATATCTATACATAATTATTAAACTAAAAAAATTATTTTAGTAGTTTTTACATAATATGCAAGTAAGCGTCTCAGAAACGTCAAATCTGCAGGAGTGCGTTTAGAAACCACGCATGGCAAGCCGATCCTGGAGACATGGTCAATATCAGTGCGACGTTGCTAAGTAGTTATTATCTCGGGAAAATTTAAATACATTTTTCGATTTTTAATATTTCCAGGTTTACAAAAAAAATAGGCTTTGTAGAAACAAAAATAGTTGAAATAAACATTACATTTTTTGAATAAAAATACGGTTACAGACTCGTTTTTTTTTTTACATTTTGCTTTGTTGATATATTAAAAATGATATTTTTTATATATCAAAATTTGGACTCCATAGCCCCATTATGCACGACTTCATAAATATGCATGCCAAATTTCATAAAAAAAAAAAATATTACAAAATTTGCCTGGAATCTTGGAATTACTTTTAAAGTAGTTCACTCGCGACAGTCGTACATAAAAATATCGCGTAATAGTGAATAGCAAAAGTTCGAGATTCTCAATGCTAATCAATTTTATTTTTGTAAGAGACTGTACAAAAAACATGTATATAAACACATATGGACAAGTTATAATTTTAATCAATTTCATCCGGCAAACTTGCAAATATTTAAACGATATGGTATAGAAATTTGTGACTTCCTCATACTAATTTTAAGGGTTTGTTTTGGTTCAAACAAAACCTCCGATTCCAGTTCTCAAACACAGTGGACGAATTATTTTTTCAAGAACACGTCGCGAGTTTATAACAACCTCTTAGCTGATCGATTGTTACTTTGATACGTGAAGTGGCTACAATTTTGCCAAGTTGTAATAATTTTACGAAACTACTCCTCAACTGCTTTAAAAATATTTTTATTTTAAAAATCTATATTTTTTTACTAAGACGGTCAAAAAATTCAGCGATTATCTATAAAATTTGATAACTTCTTGATTTATTTAACATTAGTTTTTAAAAAATATGGTCAGAACCGTTTTCGAGATATCTTGAAATAAATGCATTGCTTGTGTACATGATAGGCTTCAAGAGTGTTAATTATGCACATTTTGATTGTTAATATCTCGTTTCACAGACGGTCAAAAAATCTAATTTTTTTGGTTACGTAAACGACACTTTCATAAACCTTATATTTAAATTTTATTGAATTCTTAAGAAAAGCCGTTTTACGAGTGAACTACCTTAAGTCAATTTTAGCACATGGATAACGCTCTTCAAGTTATGTAATCAAATTATTTTAATATTTAAATGAATACAATCTGGAAAATAATAGTGATATTAATAGAAATAAAATGAACTCAAACAAATTAAATAAGTTCATAAATTCCCTGGAAATCCCCAAACAAATCCCAAAATTACGAAATAATGAAAATAATTTTTTTGAACTCCCAAGGTAAAAACAAATTTAATGAAAAATGGAAAGAAGTTTTGTCCTCGGGAGATTCGAACTCACCTTTCCTTGTTCTACGCACACCGCTCTTACCAACTGAGCTATCAGATATATGATCACTGACTTCCCAATCGTAAATATGAATGAAAGATTTCGAATCCAAGCTCGTTTACCGAAAATTTTCTAATCTTCAATAACCTATTGAAAAGCATAATCTGGGAAAATTATGCGAAACAAATATAACTAAATAAAGCCTTTTAGACATTTCGTTGTATAATACCTTACCTTAGTTGGGTTTTAGGTCTGCTACCCTCTCGCCATGTAACCAGGGTCCCTGTCAGAGGGCCAAATCTAGACCCTTTTTGTCGAACCTCCTACATACTGTAGCGGTGGCCACCTTGGCATGATGTAGGTTCACCTAAAGAACCCTGATCGTTCTGCTCAGTTCGGTGAGCTGGGCTGTTCGTCTGCCTTCTTCAAACCTCTCCCATTTCCATAACTGCAGTCTCCCCTTGGGCTTCTTGCGTCTTGAGGGAACTGACCCTACTGTAGGAAGACTCCTCTATCTCTTCGTCCTCTACTAGAATTTCCTCCTTCGTAGAGGACTGTTTGGTGTCCTCTTCCCTATTTGTTCCCTGTTTTGGGTTACTCACCTTTTCAACGGGCTCTTGGTCATGTCTTCCTTTTTATTCTCCCTATGTCATAGGGGACATGTCCAGCTTTTTGAGCTCTTACAGAGATTCTGGATCCATGGCCTTTTTCCGATGGGGTTTTGCCCCTCATCGTGTGAGAGAGAGAGAGAAAGAGATAGAGAGAAATCTTTATTTGAGGAGCTGTTCCTCTATGGGTGTCAAATTTGAACTGGATGTCACGTTAATGTTGATTTTTTTACTCCTACTTTCAATAGAATTGAAAATTTTATTTCAAATATTTATTTTATTCGTAATCACTCATTATTTTTTCAATAATTCGATCAAAATATAGGTAGAGGTATTAACTTTTAAACAATTCACAATATTTTGACGGTTGTCAAAATTACTGCTCAGTGTTAGAGTCTTTGCAAGTGAATGTATAGCACTCCTGAATTCAAGGAGCATACCAAATATCTGAGGCCGATCTTCCCAACTTGAAGCCACTTCATATCCTACACTTCCTTGAGAGAATAGGATTTGAAAGGTATTGTGTATTATACACCATACTCAACATAACATTTTACGATTTTTCATATTGATTTCGACGAGAAAAGGATTGATTTCGAAGTGATTTCAGTGAGAATTTTGGGTTTTCGGTGATGATTTCGGGATTTCCGTCATGATTTCGAGAGAATTTGTTTAGCGATTTCGGTGATTTTGAGTGAAAATCTATTAGTATTTCAGATAAGACACAAATTTAGGTCTTAACATAGGTTAGTTTAACAAACTTAATAAACGTTAAAGCATAAAAAGGAATAGAAAATTATTATTTATCTACATTCACATACTATTGCAGATACAAGCCAAAAATACTGAAAAGAACCATACCAACTACCACCTGTTACTTAATAAAAAAATCCATTAAACGTGCTAAAACAATAAATTAATTTTATTTCCTGTCAAATTAATTAACACATTAATTCCTTGCCTTTTTAAGTTGTAACTTAATTTTTTCTTGAATGTCCGTTTATAAAAGTTGTATCTTTTTTTTTTAGGAAAACATTTAATAAAATGTTTAAAGAAACAGTTCGACAAAATGATAGTAATCTGGTACGTGGAAGGGCTGATGTTATTAAAACTATCAGGAATATACCCAATAAGGATGATGTATTTGCGGTTTTAACAAGAAATAATAGAATGATGAACGAAAAAGGTGTGAAATTTTATGCATCAGAAGGAGGTATCAGCCTAAATGGACATAGTATAAATACAAATGAATTTATTATAATGAATAAACAGGAAGCTAGTGCCTTTTTATCAAATTTGCCTTTAAAAACTGACATATCAGCTGTAGATCAAACACGTTTCATTAACAGTTTTTCTCTAAATAATTTGCCTATGACAAATGTACAACATTTTGCAGAATATGCTTTGCGCCTGATAGGTACATTTGGAATCAATATCCAAGGAATGCTTTTACAAATTGTACAGGATATTTTACCAATTGTGATAGAATTCTTAGGATCACTTATGAATGAAATATTCCCTGAAAATAGTGCGGGAACTGGAGTACTTCATATAGTAATGGAATATTTTGGTGGAAAAGCAATTGAATTTTTGAAAAATTTTGAAACATGGAGAAAAACTGGTAGTCATTTTTATTATGATAAAGATTTTGCAGATTTGCCAACCAATAAAACTGAAAGATACACTTGGATTTTCGTAAAGCTAGTTAACTTATGTTTTTCCAAGGGCAGACTAAATCAATTGGAACTTTTGGATATTATCAAATATACAGAAAAATCCATTTTGAACGAAATAGTCGATTATGAGAAAAAAAAGGAGGAAAATAAGAGAAGAGATGATCATTCGCCAAAGCGGCCTCAAGAAATAAAATGTACAGTTTGTTCAGGATATTATTTCCAAAGTGGTTCTAAAGCATAAAAGTATATTATTTGTATTTGTTATTCTTTTAATTGTTGATTACATAATGTATTTTAATATAGTTGCTTTTAATTACATACCAGTATTTTGTTTTCTTTTAATTCTTGTTTAAAATGGTTGATTACATAATGTATTTTAGATAAATATTTTAATATAGTTGCTTTTAATTACATACCAGTATTTTATTTTCTTTTAATTCTTGTTTAAAATATTCAATTATAGTCTTCTATTTTATAGGGAAAGTATTTCTATTTCTTAAACTGTAATATATAGAAAGTTGGTTAAATTAGACAAAAGTTGCGTAGTTTTGTGCTCATTAAAGTGGTGCCAAGAAATATTAAAATCTTGAAAATCTACAGGAAAAATCTAGGAAGTAATTGTGTATCCCCTTGAAATTTGGGTATCATATCTAAATATTTATTTTCTACGTTCATGCAAAAAACAAAACTATATTTAGTGAAAAAACTGGTTCTTTATTGCACTAGTGCAATAAAAATTTTATTGCACTCATCTGTCATTTTACTACAGCGTTTTATGATCATGACAAACATAAATATTCAAATCGACGGCCAATATTTAGTCCATTTCCATTTTCTGTGAGATTGTATTACGTTTTAAAAACAATTGCATATTTTATATTATTTTCAATCATTTAATAAATAAATTAATAAAAAATGTATTTTTCTTAACATAGTTATAGTACGTTTTCAATGTTAATCGATGCTAATTATTAGTTATTAAATTACGCTTTTTATTCTTCTGCACTTAGTGTCGCCTAAATAAAATTTTTTTTGGTTTTTCCATGAAAGTAGAAAAAATATTGTATGCAACTCGTGCAAAAAATATTTATTACACTCGACAATTTCACGTCGCGTGTAATAAACACTTTTTGCACTTGTTGCATAAATAACTATTTTTTAGTACTGTCATTTTTAATTTATGATTCTTTAAAAATTTTAGCAACATTGATAGAATTTGTTAAAGGCTTTGGTAAGTCTTAGTCAGAACCTGTGCTATTACTATCTGAATTTTCAGATCAATCTGAAGCAAATTGATTAGTTTCACCTCTATATGACAAGTATTTACAGCAAAATTAATATTCCTTCTATGCGTAGAACCAGCGAAATATGCCACAATATTCACTTGTACTGTTCTTTCTTCCTATTTTCGAAGTATCAAATTTCCTTTAGATGTCTTCTCGTTGAGCTATTGAGTTCACCCAACTGAAAATTTCTAACACACGGTATATGTTCGAATAGGTCAATAAATCAATACGAACCAAAGCTCCTCTATTTACATTTAAAACCCGGTCATACATTGCAAATAAGCGTAGCGCGTAGCTATTTCGTAAATGAACCGACATGCATTTCCTGGTGCGCTGTTGTCAGGCTGTGTTTATCCCTTTCATATTTAAAAATAGTTTTTACCTATAACTCACTAATAGCAACACGTTTTATTAATTAGAATAGTGTCGAGATATATTGCGACACATCAAGCGTCCCCACCAATTCATTTTCGTACCTAGTGCAGTGTTTCCAACTCCGACGCATTGTGGGCCGAGATGTTGCAATATTTCCCGAAACATTTCTAATAGTAAATCTCTAAATAAAATGACTTGTAACAAAACAAAAAACGTATAAAATGTGTGCAAAGTAGATTAATCTAGTTTAACTGCTTTCAGCAGACTTGATATTTTAGCAGCACCTATTTTTACACCATTAGGCAGGGCATTTTTGTATCTATCGTTTTTACATACATACGCTTGCTAAATAACAACTTTGCAAATACTAAGATAAACTATGGCAAACACCATTATTATTCCTGCAAATAAATGCAAAGATTTTAAAAGCGTTAAACGTGACACCACCGCAATTTAAAATAACTTTGTTTCATTCATAATATACGTCACGTATAGTATTTTATCCATCGATAGTTTGCGACGTTGCGATCCAGTAAATTATTGCATATTGGGTGTTTTTGTTCATCTTTAGACTTTTTTGGAAAAATTTCGTCTTGTGCATTTTGAGCAAAAAACTGGAAAATGTGGGTGCTGAAGTATCTTTTCATAAGTAAGGTTAGGTGATGATGTATTGCACAGTTCAGTAGTGTAGATTTCAAGATTTTTGCCGTAATATCACATGTATAATGTATATTACTATTATTTTCTTTGATCTTTCAACATTATTAATTTCACAAAAAAATGTAATTAATAGAAAAACTTTAGTCTGGACTATAGTGGTAAAATAAATATGCTTATGCTTGATTGTTAGGTTTCCAACTGAAAGGCATACAAGAAATATTTAGCTATCTCTTGTAGGACTTGAAGAAAATGAAGGTATCTAAAAAAGAGTGTTATGCTCGGAGCATTTTGATCCTAATGATATTCTTCAAAAAGCAAATATCTCAAGCCTGGAGCACTGCCAAAATTAAGTTCATTGTTTCGAAAAAGGTCATTTAGGTAACTAAAAACTTTCTTAATTATGTTTCGAAAATGTTCATTTAAGTGTTTGTCCTTTAAGATGAAAGTTGGTAGTTTATCTTACAAAGTTCTTTAAATGTTGTAGGTGCTTAACAAGGACAAACTTTTTTATAAACTCATATTACATGCCTCTTTCTTTGATTATTTTAATGAACTACCTTATTATTAATCAAAATGTATACTTACCTTTACATTAAAAGTTCCGAATACTCTGTTACAGCTCTGATTCCAGTATTTTTTACAGCTCTAGTAAGAAACCAGAAGATAATTTATCTATCGCACAAATTTATGGATGATAATAAGTAAGTCAGTTTACTGCCTAGTTCTACAAGTTAAAAACTATCAATGGATAGGTTTATTGTTGTACAGTTCTACGTGTTTTCGGATTTTACAAAATTCTTATACCAGATCCGCTATAAGAAGCGTTCCATTTAAAATCCCCACCTTGTATATATGGTAAATTTATTGATTTAATAACTTTTATAAATTTAGTAGTGTTAAAAATCTAAATTTTGATTTAAAAATCTCTCATTTACCAATTTGTAAAACTGTTAAAATTTTAACCCCAAAATTGAATTCGTAAATTTGTTTAAAAAAAATCTTGATTTATTTATCTTGTTTTTATTTTATTTAACATCTTTATATGTAATAAATGTATTATTCTTGAAAAAAAAAAATAGTGTTTTTAAGCTTTTTTACCTTCATTCCACTGAACTTCATACCTTTATACCAAATCGAATCGGTTTTAAAGTTTAAACCATTATAAAGTTTATGCACACCATATCGGTATTTCATTATTTTTTTATAATTAGTTATGATTTTATCTTTAATAAGATACGCCACTGGTATTAACAGACTTTTAGTTGCGTATAACAGCAGCATTGCCAGACGAGACTTTCGATTGCAGTCTGTCTTCTTTCGATCCGCATAAAATGTCTTCTTTCTCTTTTCCGATGATTGGGACCAAACAAAACATACTTTATGAATGAAATGCATCATCTGTTGTTTCTTTTATCTAAGATACGAACCGAAATTATGTCCACTAATCCCGTTTGACGCGCCACTTAAATTCAAAATTTCCGAAAGGTAGTTTTTTAAAAATAATTATTTAAAATAAACCGTGAGTAAAAGTTTGTATGAGAGTACAAACTTTTGCTAGATTTTTAGAAATGTGTGAGAAATTACTCAAAAAATCTTATAATGCAGCAGATGTTAACGATTTTCAGAATGAATATCTGATGTCAAGTATCTTAGCAAAGATTAAAGGTGAAGCAGCTGGAAATATTTCATCTTGCATAATATCAAATTTGTTTTATTCCATTTAATTACATTCAGTCTAGAATCCGATTTTGTTCATTAAACAACCTTTATTTTATAACACAGTTTTTATTTTAAATAAATTATTTTTTAAAAACTACCCTGCGGAAATTTTGAATTTAAGTGGCGCAGTCAGTAGGATAGGTCAAACGGGATTAGTGGATTTAATTTCGGTTCGTATTAACGATTTATTGACCTATTCGAACATATACAGTGTGTTAGAAAATTTCAGTTGGGTGAACTGAGTAGCTTAACGAGAAGACATCCAAAGGACATTTGATACTTCGAAAATAGGAAGAAAGAACAGCACAAGTGAATATTGTGGCATCTTTCGCTGGTTCTACGCATGGAAGGAATATTAATTTTACTGTAAGTACTTATGTCATATAAAGGTGAAACTAATCAATGTGCTTCAGATTGTTCTAAAAATTCAGGTAGTATTAGCACAGATTCTGACTAAGACTTACCAAAGTCTTTAACAAATTCTATTAATAAATTTTAAAAGATAATCAAAAATTAAAAATGGCAGTACTAAAAAAAGAATATTTAGATATGATACCCGAATTTCAAGGGGATACATAATTACTTCCAAGATTTTTAGAAATTTGTGAGAAATTAGTCAAAAAAATTTATAATGCAGCAGATGATAACGATTTTCAGAATGAATATCTGATGTCGAGTATCTTAGCAAAGATTAAAAGTAACTGTAAATATTTCATCTTGCACTATATCAAATTGGGCAGATTTAAAAGGTGCTACATTAAATACTTACTCCGATAAAAGAGACATGTTTATGTTAAATATAGAGATGGTGCAAACCAAACAAGGTAATGAATCGCCTTTTGATTTCTTTAATAAAATGCAGCACTTATTAAAATTTCTAATATAAAAGTTCATACTGCTCATATCAATGTATTGTCGTAATTTGGCTCTCAAAGTATTGTTACGGGGTTTAAAGGAACCAATGGGTTGACTTATACTGACCAAAAATCATGCAGATCTAAATTACGCGTTAAATATGTTAACCAGTGACTTTCAAAACAATATTGAAGGTTTAAATACTCACAAAGGTAAATTTGTGCCTAGGAAGTTTTCTTGAAAATAGAAAGACAAATAATTACAAATTACTAATTTTTCTCATAACTCTCAACCGCCAGTTAGACAAAATTATTTTTATCACAACCTAATACTACTAAAATAAATAATAATACTAATTTTGATATAGGGACAAATATATTTAAGCCAAATCCAAATCAAACTTTTCCGAAACCTACTA